AAATAAGAAAAGGAATCTTTTCTTTTACTCAAATATCATTTCCAGTGCTTTCCCTTTTTTTATACATACAGATTTCTATTTGGTATAATTTGTCTTCTACCCTTACTATTTATTGTAGTCCAGGTAGGCTGGTTAGGAATTATTTTTAAGTTTTGTGCATCTCAAAAATAAATCCTATTTTACCTTCATTTTAAAGCCATCTTTATTTCTACTATAGGGCTGTGGTGTAGGTTTTCTGGTATAGGGTTATGTTTACACTTTTATTTAATACTTGAGAGGGAACTGTACTTTTTTCTATCTTATATAGTTTCCCAAGAAGTTTGGTGTCTGTTATGGTTTGTGTCTAGTTGTCTCTCCAAAGCCTTATGTGGTCATAGGACTAAATTTAGAGTATGTGACACTAGGATTAAGGGTGTGTGATTATTAAATCAGTTTACTAATTGGTTTAGCACCACCCTGATCCCTGTAGACTGGATAAAAGGAGCAAAAAGACACTGTTAAATTCCCTTTGCTGCTTTTGTGAGCCAGCCAATTATGGACTAAACCCTCTACAAACTATGAGCTAAATAAACCTTTCCCCTTTTAACTTTGGATGTTGGTTTTGTGTCTCAGCAAAGAGAAAACTAACACAGAAATTTGGTACTGAGAGTGGGATTGTTGCTGTGACTATACCTGACCATGTGGTTTAGGAGCTTGTAGAAAGAGTTTTAAAAGGTTTAAAGATACCAGCTAAAAAAAAGTAGAGCTAGGACACTTTAGGCTGTACTGTGTGGGAGATTCTGGTCAGAGCTCAGAAGACTAGAAGGCTGATACAAATCCTGCCAGAAAGACCAGGCTCAGGTTTCTGCTGGAAAGAAGGACAGCATTGGCAGTTAGACTTCAGACAATGTGTTATGTTGGCAGAAAGTTTGTCTGCATTTTGCTCATATCCAGAGACTGTGCGTGAGACTGAGATTAAGGGTGGCAGACTAATCTGGTGGAAAAAATTTCAAGGCATTCTAATGTTGAGACTATGGCATGGCTATGGCCAAAAGCTTTTATCCAGATTTATGTTGAGAATCAAGACCAAAGAGCCCAGCAAAATTATTTTAAAAGTTTTGTATTTGGCCAAAAAGGAAGCTCCAGTAAAATCGCAGCCTGCAAAGGTAAGACAGATCTTGATTGGTGAGAAGGCTGCACACTTTTTTTCGGTGGTACCACTAAGCTAAATCTGCCGCCCATTGCTTGGTGGGAAGGAACAAGAAAATAGAAGATGTCCTAAAGGCCTCACAAGAAACAGCAGAACTCCACCATTTGCAGCCTCAAATTTTCAAAAATAAGACTTTGCTTTGAGAAGAGAGCCCCAGAGCACCATGTTCCAGAAGGCAGTGGCCTAGAGAAGTTGTTCCTAATGATTTGGTTCATAGGTGCTGGATCCCTATAGCCAAGAGAGGAAAGAGCCTGGCTTCTCCTCAGGAGGCAGCAGACCTTGGCATCATCCATGGGGTGCTGGTTGTAGGCGCATACAGAATGCAAGAGTTGTGGGGTCAGGAAGGCTTCCATCCAGATTTCAGAAGAAAGCTTGGGAGGCCAGGCAGTGTGGCCCTGAGAGGGCAGTGTGTGAGGCTGTGAGTGTAAAGCCAAAGGTAGAGACCTCAAAAGTTTAGAGAAGCTGAGAACATGGGTCATCCAAAGAAACTGCAAGGAGAGAGCAAAGCCATCCCCAGAGAGAAGCCACGGGAGCCACCACCACCACCAGCAATGCCATGGGGGCGGAGCCACCCACTAACTTTAGATTTCACAACTTGCCACAGATTGCTGGGGATGCTAGAAGAAGAACTGTGAGATTTGATATTTGTCCTGCTAGATTTTAGTCTTGCATTGGTCCCATTCCTTCGTGTCCCCGTTTGTACCTTTTGGAAAGGAAATGTGTATCTTGTGCCACTGGTTGTTGGAAGTGTTTGACTTTCTTTTCATTTGGACAGGGCTTGCAGCTAAATTTACCTTAAATCTCAGAGGAGACTTTCGACTTGGAATTTTCAGCAATGCTAAAAATGTTAGGACTGGGGCAACTCTTAGAGATGGGATTAAGTGCCCTTTGTGTAAAGGGATGTGTGTTGTGTGAGTCTTTGGGGGCCCAGGGGCAGGATGCTATGGCTTGTGCCTAACGTTCCTCCCAAGGCCTCGTGCTACCATAGGGCTTTATCAGAGGTGGCTAAATCTAGAGTCTGTGACACTGGGGTTGAGTGTATGATTACTAAATCTGTCCACTAATTAGTTTGGCACCGCCTTAATCCCCCTGGTAGTCTGTTAAGGTTCTGTCCTCCAGAAGCTGTTGCCCCTCTGCCATGTGCCACCCTGCCTTGGAGCCAGCTGGTATGGACTGAAGCCTGTACAAACTGGGAGCTGAATAAACCTTTTTCCTTTTAACCTTGGGTGTTGTGTATTTTTGTCTCAGCAATGAGAAAAGTAACTAATACAGTGTTTCTCTGTGTAATAGGCCTTTTCACTGATTAAGGGTTTGGGGTTTTGTTTCTATTAATGGTTTTAAGCACTTTATGGTGTGCCTTGGTGCAGTTTGTGTGTGTGTGTGTGTGTGTGTGTGTGTGTGTGTGTGTATGCTTTGCATTCACTGGTTGTCTTGATTCTGTGGGCTTATCCTCTTCATCAAATCTGGAAAATCTTCACTCCATTTACAAATACATTTAGGCTGTTTCTGTGCTGTTTTCTTTTTTAATCTATTGCTTTCTGCAGGTTTACCCATCTGTTCTTCTACAGTGTCTCATTCATTGCTAATCCAGCCCAGTACTTTTTAATCTCAAATATGACAGATTATAGCTCTAGAAGTTTGAGCTATATCTATAAATTACATGTTTTCCACATCTTCCATCATTTCTCTTACTGAACATACATAATTGTAAGTTTTAGTGTCCTTCTGTAATAATTCTATCATCTGTGTCATATCTAGAATGATTCTCTTGATTTTCCACCTCACCACAGGGTCACATTTTCCTGCCTCTGCATGCCTTGTTTTAATTGTATACCAGATAGTTTGTTTGGTTTTTTTGTTTGTTTTGTTTTTGGTATGCCAGTCAGTAGTTGGGTACTAGATATTTTGGTAATCCTAAAAAATTTACTAAGTTCGGTCTGTAGCAGAACTGGGTAATTTGATAAATTCCTTACTTTCAGTTTGGGATATTAATCTCTGCTGAGGAAGACCAGAAGAATTCATTTAGTCTAAGACTAATTTTTTCCCCATTTCTAAGGAGAAATTGTTGAGTATTCAAATTGTTGCTAAGATGGGCACTACTCCTGGTGTTGTGGAAGCTCTGGAAAATGTTCCTTGTAATATTTTCAGGTGGTTCTTTCCAAGCCTCCCTTCATTTCATTGATCAGTGTGCATCTGAAGACCTGAGGACCTGCTCACTGGTCTCTGGAGCTGTGTGTGCCACTCTTTTCTGTTGTTCCTGCTCATTTTGTTTGCTGTGGCTTTCTTGGACCATCGGTTTCATCTGCTCTCCTCAGGAAGGCTGCTGAGCCCTGTGTGGGTCCCCTCTCTCCAGCAGGCCTGGAAATTCTGTATATGCCATACTCTAGAGCAATCATGGGCTCACTTCTTTCCTCACTTGTGCAGGACCAGTTCTTCCTTACCTAATTGAATGCTTGAAACTTGTTTTATTTATTTTGTCTTGTTTAGTGGTTTCAAGGATATTAAATCCAGTTCCTGGCACTCCATCTTCACTAGAAGCTGCAGATGATTTTGGAAGCACTTGGGGAGCTTGTTATGACTACGTGTTTCTTGGACCATACTCTAGTCATGTTGGTTTACAGGCTATAGCAGCAAGGCTAGGGGATGGCTCTGCAGTTGTGGGCCAGAAATACGCCTGGCAGTGGAGATATGAAGTTAAACTAGGTATAATACTTGCTTACAAAAGAGCATACAAAGCACTAGGAAAGACTAGGTAAATCAGTTTTTATGGTACAGTGCATTAAGTATAATGCTTATATACAGGGTGTTTTGGAACATCCTTACAAGGAAACGCAGCCAAACATGGCCCCATGATGGCCAGGGCAAAGTTAGCAAATGGTTAATCATGGAAACTAAGGAGTAAATAGAATACATTTGGGAACTGCAAAGAATTTGGAATGATCGGATCCAAGTGGGAAGAGGAGGGGTCTTTAGTGTTCCATCTGTAAACACGACTCTGTCTCTAACATTTATGGCTTTCATGTGGGAAAAGAAAAAGAAAATAATGCATTGTGATAGGCCAGTGAAGCATTTTATGATAAGTCCAAGTTTCCCTTGAACCTGAAATTATGTGTGATTGACTTACTCATTTATTTGTTCATCACAGGTTTTTTAAGCACCTGTTCTGTGTTGGGCCATGTATAGGATGCTAGAAACCCAGAAATGTGTGAGTCTGTAAGTTGATACTGTTTTAAAAATAGGTCTTTCAATAACTATTTTGAGAGAGAAAAAATTTTCCCCTTAGCTGAGGGTGGCACGTACAAGGGCACCGAGCAGTCACTTATCACTAAGTACCAAGATCTGTTCTAAGTACTTGAGGTAAATTAATTCCCGGATAAACCCTAGCAGTAGTACCTACTATTCATTTTAACCAGAACAACACTGTCTTCACAGGAGTTCTTCAGTGCGTTTTATCAGCTACCCATTGTTACCCCACCCCAGAAAACATTAAAGTCCCGGAGACCGTGTGAAGTAGTGAGTCATGCGGAAGAAAACTGAAGGTGATAAGAGTTGTGGTTTTGTACCGAGTGGAAGTTTTTCAAACTATGAACAAAGAAATGGGTCTAAAAGGCAGACACACCTGTGACTTCCCCAACTAGTGGATACAGCAGTAAACTTCAGAGTTTTCTTTAGGCTGTGTCTGCTAACATGAAGAGCAGAAACTTCCTAAGGGTAGGCTAGAAACAGTGTCAGTATTAGGCCATCTGAAGTGTATTTTTTAAAAAAAAAAAAAAAAAAGTCCTAGAGACTAAAAGAGAAAGCACAGGTTCAGTTTATCATTTCACCTTCGTGAGGCCAACAGACGTCCATAATACTTCCTCTAATGTAGTTTACAGAGACAGGAAGATGGTTTCCATGTTGAACATTTAAAATTACCACTTATCTTTGTACACTTCCTCACACACTCAGGGGAGGACCTGAAAATGTCAGTGTTAAAAATGATGCTACTATTGTCCCTTGAGCTGGAGAAGAGCAGGGCTTCCCCTGGTGCCTCTGAGTCCCAGCAGTAATAACCTCCGTGCTCCTTCTGCCTTGTACCTTTGGATCTTCCCCCACAGTCTGTGTTGAGACACAAGTATATAGGATCACCCCTGGACAATGCGTATTCCAGATGATACTTCAGTCGACTTCTTCAAGCGATATCCCGAGTATTTTTTCCTAGAGGGGGAGAAGAGAAATTCTTAAAATTCCAAGTTGGATGCACTGTTGAAGTAAAAACATATGTCTGTAACTCTGCTCCTATCCCAGGCACGACCTGAGGCCCAGAGTCAGTGCTGGGGTGGGGGGAGGGTTGGAAAGGTGCCTGGCATCCTTGGTGTGCCTGTAAGGAAAACATTAGTGAAGGTCTTGTGTTACACGTCCAGGACCGACAGGCTGAATCTTCTCTTGAAGATGGGAAAGCAGGCTTTGAGGCTGTACTTAAAATTTAAAACAGTGCGTTTTAAACTGGCAGGTTGATGAGTGTGGAACCTCCAAGCCTGTCCTTTTGGGGTGCTGTGGAAAGGTGAGGTCGCAGGACTGCAGGTAACCATGGGAACAGAGCTACACAGTGAGGGAAACGCCTAGGAGCAAATCAGAACCTCACAGCACTCGGATTGGCGCAGTTTGGAGACACAGTGTTTCTTCATTCATTCAATTCATTTGCCATTTCACAAGTATGAGCTGAGCCTCTGTGATGTGCATAAAGTGATGGGAGATACAGCAGGTAACTGGGGCCAAAAGACACATCATCCTGTCCTCAGATGGATTTGTACTTGTGTGGAGCGGGTTAGACGCACTCCTGGAACATGTGCAATACTGAGATAGGGACGCTGAGTTTCTGATAGGATTCCATTCAGGAAGTTTTCCCTCCTTCCACACTACTATGAAGACACCACACATACACCAAAGGGCCAGTGAATGTCCCTTGTTTCTTGCACTCTTGTTTTGGAAAAATTAGTCCTTCCTTTCACATTCTCTTTCTTCCCTCTCCTAGTTTCCATTCACATGCTCCAGATGAAACCTAACAGTGGCCAAGAGTTAAGATTCAGGTTTATGATGTCCTGGATAGATGATATGGTTTGGAATAAAGCTACAGAGGATAAAGAACTAGTACTATCAGTTTTGAAAGCCTTTAAAAATCCCCTTTCCTACTCTTCGGATGAACTCATCTGTTTTTCTAGAGCACCAGCAAGCAAATTAAACTAATTAGAACATTTGGATAAATTTTCTTTTGACCTCTTTATTTCATAACTAGAATTAGAACCACTGTATATACTGAAGCTTATTTGTATCATCAACTTCACCCTCTAACATGCATAACTGAGTGACTTTTAGTATACTCACAGTTGTAGAACTATTTCCTCTGATTTTAGAACATTTCATCCCTCCTATTAAATTTCCCTCATTCCCCAGCCCCTGGCAACCACTAACCTACTCCCTGTTTCTCTGAATTTGTCTATCCTGGACAATTCATATAAATGGAATCGGACAACAACAAATGTACTTTTGTCTGACTTCTTTACTTAGCATGTTTTTAAGGTTCGTATATGTATCAGTGCTTTATTACTCTGGTGGAATCATTCCACTGTATGAAAATACTTCATTTTGTTTATCCATTCAACAGTTGATAGATATTTTGGTTTCTTCTTCTTCTTGGCTATTATGGATAATGAATGCTTCTCTGAATATTTATGTACAAGCTTTTGTGTGAAAATGTTTGCAGTTTTTGTGGTTATACAAACAGGAGTGGAATTGGTTACATACACCCACACCCACTGCATGGTGCTGGGTATTGATCCCAGGAGAACCTTGCACAGTTCCTTGTAACTGTCCCATTTTGGGAAACTATCAAGTTGTTTTCCAAAGGGACTGCATCATTTCACAATCCAGCCAGCTATGAATGAGGAGGAGGATTCCAGTTTCTCCACCTCTTCACCAGAACTTGTCCTTTTATTTTAGTCATCCTAGTGTGTAGAGTTCGCCAAGATTTTATTGTACAGTTCTCTACATTTTTTTTGGTGGGGTGGAGGGTTAGTACTAGGGATCAAACCAAGTGGTCTACCACTGCCACTGAGCTGAATTCCTAGCCCTTTTTATTTTTCATTTGGGGACAGTGACTCACTGAGTAGCTTAGGCTGACCTCACGCTTGTGAGCCTATCTGCTGAGCTTCCCAAATAAATGACGTTACAGTAGGATGCACCTTGCCCAGCACCACCCTGCTATTGAAATAAGGGTAGCAAGCATCTTTTTTACTGTGCTTATTGCCTGACCATTTATCTGTCTTTGGAGAAATGTCTATGCAAAACCGTTGCCCATTTAAAAAATTACTCTTTATTGTTGAATTGTTAGAGCTCACTGCATCTTCTAAATATTAACCGTTTACTAAATATATGATTTACAGTGTTTTCATTCTGTTTCTTTTTTCTTTCTGTGCTGGGGCTTGAACTGAGGACCTAAGCCATGCCAGGTAAGTGCTCGACACCAAGCTGCACCTCCAGCCCTGATTTTCCATTTTGTTGATGGGTGTATCCTTTAAAGAGCAAAACTAAAGTCCCAAGTTTTCTATTTCTTTTTTCTTATGCTGTTTGTGCTTTGGTGTAAAACCACTATGATGTTTGTTTTTAAATAGAGATTTTATGATATTTCAGCTATGTTAGTGGGTTAGACTCCAGAGCTGGCCTGAAAGCCCAGTGGATATTTATCATTTCTGCAGGAAAAAACACTAATAAGACCAATAATGATTTTTAAATTAACATTTAAAACATAGGAATTTGGTCACCCCTGTACACTATTGTATTATGGTACAAACATTGAAGTATTACAGACAGAGGACGGGGAGGCCACAGCTGGAGTGGTCAGAAAAGCTTTAGGGCAGAGGAGGGACTGGAGGGCCTCCTGGGAAGGAGAACGGGGGAACTGAAAGATTATCAAGGAATCTGTTCTCCTTTTAGGATGGGTTCAAGCAGCTTAAATTTAGAAGACTTAGGGCTCTAGTCAGGTACTCAAAGATGATTACACCTGGTGCAAGAGTGTAACACAGAAAGAAACAGAAGACCGGGTAGCCACTGAAGACCACGGCAGGCACTTGAGCTTGGGCAGGATCGGCTGCACTGCCCTCCTGACACCCCAGGAACCAAGCCTGTCTGGAGAGCCCCAGGTCAGTGTGGCTTGCCTAGAGCCAACTCAAGCCTCCCCCTGGCTTCTGGATCATCCTTGTAGAAAGAGTACTGAGGACGATGTGGGGGAAAAGGCTTGTCCTCCTGGGAATACCCTAGGCCTTTGAGAATTTACAGTTCTGGGGTAATGCATTTTGACAAGGCTTGACCTTGTGTAGCCAGTTAAAAATGGCAGTTTTGATCTCAGGGAATGGGAATGAAAGGTGGAAGAGACGTTGAGGCTGAGGCACGAGAGGAAAATATCTGTTTTGATTGATACTGAGTATTTTACAATAGGTGAAAACTGTTTGCTTTATGGTTTGTATCAAAATGGTGGGTCAAAGCAGCAACAACAAAGCCTCATGAACCTTGAATCTCTGTGAAGGAGCAGCCCCACGCCCTGTCAGTAGCTGGGAGTGTGAGGAATGATCTCTCTGCCCAGTCTCACCACCAGACTTCCGCTGCCTGAGGAATTTGTGAAAATAGAAATTACATCTATGTCAACATTTTATATCTCTGAATCTCCTCATTTCCTGTTATATCTGACCAGTCTCTGCTCCCACATATCCTGAAGGAGCTCAGTAAATATTTATGGGTGATGGAGATAATCACTACAAATATGTTCCCATCAATGGGACAGATCTCTTGCCACTCCAGTGTCCTAAAACCCATGAGAACTGCTTCACAGATGTGATCCCTCAACTAAAAAAATTGAAAAAGAGGAGGAGGAGGAGGAAAAAAAACCAAAACAAAAAAAAACTCTTCCCATCCTAACCCTTCTGAGTTTGGAGAAGATTTGTTTTTAAATAGGATGCACTTACCCATCCACCATGCTGTTGGACCCAGGGTGAGAAGTTCTCCTTCAGGTACTTGGCTCCAAAGCCCAGCACCCTGTTCATTGGGTGGTTGTCAATAGCTGTGAGCTTGGCCATGGCATCTATTGCAAGGGCAGCTTTGAAGCCCTGAGCTTTGACTTCTGATTCCCCTCTGGTGTCCACACCCTTGAGGAACTGGTCTGTGATGGTCTTGAAAACAGAATAGGACAGCCCATCCTGGAAGCTGCTCATCAAGTTCTTGTCTTTCTTCAACTGTGCAGGAAAGGAGAAGGAAGCACTCAGTGGAACAGCTTGGGCCACTGAGACAGATAGAAAGCTGCTCATTAGCTCAAATGTGGGCCACTAAAGCACCCAGTAGAAAAGAGCCTGGATTCTAGTCTCAGCCATGACACAACATCCTGCAGGACTAGGCTGAAGCACGTACCTGTTCAGTGAGTTCATTTCACCGGGACAGGTAAGTGATGAAATTGAACAATTCACTCAACATTCAACAAGTATCTCCTGAGCTCTTAGAAGAGGATAGACACTGTGGGTGATTAAGGCTCAGAGCTTCACTCAGAGGGATCTGCAGACCAGCACTACGTGCTTTGCTAGAAGTAGAGTCATGCACGGGATCTGAAGCAGGAGAACCAATGCCTTAGCCCCAAACCTTGCCCCAGCTCTTCATTGTGTGTTCATGGGGAAATGACTAGCCTCTCAGATTTAGTGTTGTCATCTCTAAGCTTGAATGATGCTAGTACCTATAACATAGGGTAGCTGAACAAGGCATTTAGAATAGCAGGGAGGGGCTCTGCAGGATAGGGGTGTCCTGGAAGACTAAGGTGGACATGTTCACTTAAAAAAGTCACATCCACCGATTCCTTTCCCATTGCTCTACTCAAGTGATTTCACTTCCCACCTCCTCTTGAACCTGGAATCTCTCTGCTTTACCTCTTTTGGACCACTATGCAGTACCTTTCGAGAAACAAAGCCTATGTCTCTGCATCTTTGGAAAAATCAGAGCATATGCCATAAATCCTATCATCCTCATTTAAAGATATCCTTGTAATGTCTGTCAGTGTGATGGTTGTTATATGAAAGCACTTTTCTTGGTGAGCAGGGACTAAATGATTATTTGAAAAATCCTATGGAGCTGAGGTTATAGCTCAATAGTAGGGCACTTCCTTAGCATATGCAAGGCCCTGGGTTCGATCCCCAGCTTTGAAAATAAGGCATATAAAAGAAAATCTTCTAGTTCTGTCCTTGGAGTTAAGCAGGTTTTCCAGATGTATTGTTTCTAACAGGAATATCTGGAGGCAAATGGGATGCTATGTGAAGATTTGGGGGAGCAGAGAACAAAAGATAGAGTTCATTTGTGGCCCAATCTCAGCGGTTGGGATCAAACTTTAGCAGGCAGTTGGAAGGGTGGCCTCTGCCAAAACAGTAAAAGAATCAAATGCCAGAGAGAAATACCATCTGCAGGGTACCTCCCCACCCCTTCCACCTGCCTCTCCTGCTCAATGGCTCCTGCTCTCTGGCCTCTGGGGAGATGCAGGGCTTCCCAGCCTGCTCATGCACTCCAGGGGTGGCTTTGCAGTTGCCCTGCTATGGGGAGTTATTTTCTCACCATGCAGTGGGAACTCATCAACCACACAAGCAAGGTTACGCTACTATGTGTTCCAGCCAGTGTGCTCCGCTGGCTAAACACGTACAAGGAATACTGAGCCAAGTTTCCAGAGAAATAATGTAAAATACCACTGAAAACCATCAAGTGAGAGCATCAGGCAAAGTGAGTGTTCTGAGAGTGATGATCTGTGAGAAGAGAAGGAAAGCATCACTGTTCAAGACCACAGAGGTCACTGTCATGCCACCCCTGGGCCCTGGCCTCCCTGCCCTCTACTTGGTCCCTGCAAGTCACTGCCTAGGGAAGGCAGGAAGGAGGTGGCCACGACAGCCACAGACCCTAAGGGTTGGAAAGAATTATCTGAGGCCACCACCTAAAGGACACACCACACACTCCCAGTTCAGGTTCCGAACTGCTAGCTGGTTGTACGTACTTGGAATTCTAGTGACAGGAAGACAGATCACTCTCACAAAGCTGCCTTTGACCCTGATGGTGGCCCTGAGTGGCAGGAAATTCATTCTTACCGAGGGAGAAATGGATTGCCCTTAACTACTATATCCATGGTGCTAGTTCTGGAGAAACGAAAGATTGGCCTGAAATAATGCATCCTGATCTATTTCCTGTTTCCTCTGCACCCCTCCCACTCTCTGGCTTGTGGCCCAAAGCTCATAGCATCCTTTCTCTCTCCTTTACCCTAACATCCCTGGTTTTCATTCTGCCTCTTCTCCCTGGCTCTTCTCCTGGTCACCATTCTCTGGGAATACTTCTGCCAAGGACACTGACGAAGGAAGGAGCTGTGAGCCTGTGTGGCTGGGCGGAGTGGCCTCCCAGTCCCTGCCGTTTGCTCCCGTTGCAGCAGCCCCAAAGCCTGAATTCCTCCCCATCGATTCTGACCAAAACAAAGACAGTGGTCCACAGGCCAGACTGACTGACAGACCCGAGACAACGCTGCAGTGGATGGGCAGTGCATACCAAAAAAACGGCTTTTAGAAGAAGAGAAGCCCTCTGACTACACCAGAGGTTTGCTCACCAGTTCTTACCCCGAAGGCAGCACTCACACACCCTGGATTAGAAGGATGGATTTCAACTTCTAAATGGCTATCCTGCCCTCCCAGCCAACTTGCTGAGAGACACTAAAAGCAGACAGTAGTCTAGCAGCTAAAGGGAGTTTTCAAAAAGGACTCCAGCCTCTGAGTGGATACAGATATCCAGGCTTCAGGGATAATTCAAGACTAAACTCCGCTGAGGATCAGTTACACGCGGAGTAAGATTAATAATCTTATTCAGCAAATTTTAATATACTGGCGTCTTTTCTTACAATAACACAGTTACTTTTCTAGTTTCCAAAAATTCCAAGGAGGCTCCAGAAGGTTTACTTAATGTTTTCCAAAGTGATTCATTTTCAAGATGTTGCCAACCTGGAGAGTGTAGACTCCAAGGGAAATAAACTTTAAGACTAAGCAGAAACCAGAACTTTGGAAAGGGGGAAGGTTGCAATCTGGAGTACAGCTCCATTCTCCTGCACTAGAACATGGGCAGAGGAAGAAAGCACACAGGTTCCAGGCCCCTCATTACCTCAATTTCCAACTGATCCCCTGAATATTTCAGCAGCTCAACAATTTTGGTGATTGTTGGGTCTTCTCCATCTGTTGGGTGAGGGAATTAACAGTTATTTCTTTCAATAGAAAGACAAAATAATCTTAAAATTTTCCAGTGGCAATGCTTATGGCTTGGTTAGGGAGTGGGGGAAAAGCATGCTTTCTAATTTGTTCGTAAATCTCACCTGTTCTCACTAGAGACAATCACTCGTGCCTTCTACAGACCCCTCCTCCCTTCCTGTTTTTCTTGGTTTCTTTGCTTAGTGTCCCGGTTCCTCTTCTCCTACGCTTTCTTCCTTTCTGTTTTTCCTCCCTTTTAGTCCCTCAATTCTCACTGTGAAATTCATCGCTTCATTTCCTGTAGGAGTTGTTGAACACATAAATTCCACTCCATAGGATGCTGTCTATAAAGACACTCAGGAGAAATTTCCCTCCTTTTTAAGTTTAATTTTTAATTAGTTAATTAGATATTTTTTGCAGCGTAGGGTATTGATCCTAGGCCTTGTGCATTCTAGGCAAGCACTGTCCCCTAGGGCTGTGCCCCCAGATCTCCCTCTGGTCTTTAGTCTTCTCCTCAGTAGATGGTAGTTTTTCCTTACCACCTTATATTCCATATTTGATTATATTTCTTCCTTCAGGTAGCTGCTACAAAGTATAGAGCCAGAATTATAGCCCAGGTCTAAGAAGGCATATAATCTTCCTGACCTACATATTGGGATTAAACCAATTTCTGAACCCATCCTATTTTTGTTTTCTTTTTATATAATCTTTCAGATTTGATTTCATCTGGCCACAATTTATACTTCATAGGCTATGCTGTGCAACAGGTGGAATATAAAAACATAATTAATAAATGTCGCTGCTGCCAATGCTAAAATGGCAGATGGGTTGCAAAATGGCTACATGTCAGTGTGCGGCACCTATGTTGGAACAGGAGAGGTGGACTGTGACATTTTGTGTCTCACAACTCGCCAGCAACTCAGCGCGATGAAAATGGCCCTTGGTACACAAACGCAATCCAAACGGGGAAAAGTCGTTTACTGAGAGCACAGTATTTCTGACTTGTGGCCCAGTTTCTGAAATCATGAGTCCACATGTTTGTCCCAGGTAAGGGGAAAAGAGACGCCAGGGAAGCGATGGGACTCCTGGGGCTCCTGTTAGTTGAGAGGGAAGAATGTGTGCTTCCACAGCTGTGGGTAGTTGTATCTGCTGCTGCCTCCTCTCCCTGGGAAAGCTGCTGTGTGAGTGGCCTGCATCCCTCAGTGCCCAGAGGAAAAGCTCCTTAGCATTAGCTTGGTTTCAGATACAGCTTCCTATCTCCAGGCATACTTGAGATAGTAGTAAAGTAGCAACACTTCCTGGTCCACAGACTGATCTTCTCCTTACTAAAAGCCTCTGTGGCAGTTCGCAGCTCCCCAGGACAGCAGATGGCGCCGGCAGAGCTGCCCCTCCATTTCCGGGGGTCAGGAGACACTACTGGCTTTGGGGGGCAAACCTCTGCTTTGTCCTTCAGTGTTCTGCAGACCCAGGAGCCACCTCTGCCTCACATCCTCCACTGGAGCTTGGGTCCACAGGAGCCCAAAGCAGTATTTCCTGAGTCAATGCTCCAACTCTTATCTAGTGTGAACTGGTACCGAGCTGTCATTACATTGGTCGAGTCTAGGACTGCATTCCTCTCCCCAGGACAAGGGCAGTGCAGGCTCTGCACTCCCTCTCCTGCTCCACGGGAGACTTCTGACTCAGCAGTGAGTGGGGTAGGTGTGGTGAACCTGCCGGTGCATCCTGTGCCTCGGGTTGGTGTCTCAGCCAGAGCTCGGCCTCCGGTGTGCTGAGGTAGGGTTTGTGGAGAAGCCCAAGATGCAGAGCCCTGAGCTGAATAAATACACCGGCAATCGTACACCTCTGGCCGCACACTCTCCACCCAATGCAAACACTCGGAAGGAAGGTTTACCTTTCTTAGAAGTTGCAGCTCTATGTTCTAAGCCTCCCGGCTGGAATTGGAAACTCTGTAATTTTGTACCCTTGAACTTGAAGTGTCTTCCCTGGGCTTCTAGCGGTGGCCAGGAGTACACGATTTCAGCCACTCGGTTGGCGATGGAAGCAATTTTGGGGTCCACGGCTGAAATGAGACAAAATGATGCTGAGAGGCCCTGCCCAGAAGAACTGTCTGCCTCACTGGTATGCACGGTTGGCCAGAATGGGAGGAGATGGCTCAGAAGTGTGTGTGTGTGTGTGTGTGTGTGTCGGGGGTGTGGGTTCTTCAGAAAGGACTGGCAGTTGCTGGGTGGAGGCTAGGATGTGGGAGGAGTATTTCCACCCTGAAACAACTGCCTTTCTGTGTCTTCATCTTGCAAAGTGAGGGTCCCCTTTTCCCTTTGCAAGGGAAGAAACACAAATGGGAGCACTTGCTTAGTCCTTCGCTTGAGGGAATGCTCATTATGTTTTCGTTCTGTTTTTGGATACCCTTTGTACCACGGAGAGCTGTCCCCTGTGTGCACAGGAGGGCATTCAATAGATTGACAAACTCTTGGGGGTTCATCACTGAGGGGAGAAAAATACCCCACTGACCAGTCATCTCCCAAATTCATTACCAAATAACCACCTGTTGGCCTTGCTCTTAAAGACTCTCCATATCTACTAGAAAGCATTCAGTTGATACTTTTAGAAATCTAGGGTGCATAGAGCGACTTTGAGTTTGGAAGCCATTAACTGAGGGATGGCAGAATTCCTAGGAATCCCTGCTGACTTCACGGAGCCTCCATACTCGACATGGCCTACCACACTTTGGCCTTCAAATATGGGAGAGAAAACATAAACCCATATTTGTTTAAGCCATAGTTGTTTGGCTTTTCCATTGTATCTTTTAAAAATTTTATTAGTCCGCGTTTTCAGTACATAATGTTTGCACTCCTTCTGTGGCATTGATACATGTACCTGATGCATCTTAATTCTTTCCATCCCTTCCTTTCCCTGTCTTCCCTTCATTTCTTGTGTCCTTCTGCATCTAATCCTTTTATTTTTTTTCCTGAACCTAATGTTAACTTTAACATTCCATATATAGCCAATCATGGCTGTGGAGAAACAAGATTAGAAGCTAAAGGACTTGGGTTCATATCCCCTGAGACTGGTGTTAATCTGTTTCTTCATATCGTAGAGCCTCTTACTGATAGACTTTGATCTTGGATCCTAACCTCACAGTTCCCATCATGAGCCTGGTGTCTGAGTCCTGGAAATGAGAGCACAGGCTGAGTCGTGGCCTTTCACGAGCAGCACCCACAGGAAACCCACTGCTAGACTCTGGCTACGGTAAGGCAACAGAGACCTGGACTACGAGGCTCCTTTGTGTCACACCCAAAGTAAAACCAGCGCTATTAGCATAAAAACCACATAATTAACCAGTTAAACAAGAAAGGGATGAGAAATGTGAGGAGGAAGGTAAGGAAGCCTTGGCAGGTAGTCATTTCTCCTTTTTTAAAGAGAGGTCTTTATTCATCTATCAAGTGAGATATATAGATATATAGATATATAGCGAAATTGTGAGCAGTTGCAAGAAGGTACTCTGCAAGTGAGCTGGATTATGTAGAAAGAAATCACCCTGTGGCCTTTTCCTCTTCTTTCTTCCTGCTTAAAATGTACACATGGTGGCTGGAGTCCCAAGAGCCACCTTTAGAATATAAGGTGTCCACTTGTCTGGCCTCACACAGAAACCTCTTGGGTTACAACCAGAATGTTAGGGTTAACTTACAATCAGAGTCTTGAGTTACGACCCAAATGCTGGTTGTAACTCCTCTGTGGGGTTGAGAATCCTGGGCCAGTGTCTTCCTAAGGACGCTGAGATCCGCCTGTGTACAGGAGAGACTCTGAAGGCTGAGTAGGGGAGCCTGGGCCTTCACTGACCCTGTGGTCGATGACACCTGGCCCCATAGTGAGTCTCCCCATGTTTGCAGGTGAGGAACTGGTGGAGGGAAACTCGGAGGAGCTGTCTAGAGAGGAACTTCAGCAACTTCTGGCTGAGCAATAGAGAATGGCCGCTGAGGAGCTTTCTAAAGAGGAGGGGGAGGGAGTATCAGCAATCAGTGCCCAAAGTTCTTCTTCTGAAATAAAGGAACTCCTGAAAAAATGGACAGAGCTGCAAATGTGTAGAGGAGACCCACCCAGACAGATAAAGTCAACGGCTGCGATCAGTCTCTTAGTGACAGTGTCACGTGCTACTACAGAACAGTGTTAAGGAAAAGACACAGCCTTAGAGCAGTGTTTGGTTCTGAAGAGGTTGAGACCTAGTGAGCCAGAAGCAGGTCCTAGTGGGCTACAGACTCTCCCAAGGAGAGAAAGGGCACCAGAGAGCCAGGTTCCTCATATTCTTGCGGAAGGGGACTCTCCTTCCAAATGGTAACCACCTTCCATTTCATCCTCCCTTCCTGTGAGCCAGCGGTGTCAACTTGAAGGGTGAGCACAGCATGAACCTGTTGTTTCTGGTAAGCCAGGAACGTTTTATAACTTTTTGGTGAATACAATAAGAAAATTATTGGTGTTTCTGGTAAATTACACACATTATACAACCCCTTTTTATTATGAAAAGGTTAAGGGGTGCTTTGGGAGGTTCAGAATGCATTATGGGTGTTGCCGTTATTTCTTATGTGAAAAATAGCCTCAACCTACAACCAACTTGAGTTACAATCAGCCCTTGTGAACAAATTAAGTTCATAAGTCAAGAGACCACTGTATAATATCATTCTATATGCAGTTATTCAGCCTCAGAGACTAGTCAGCAAATAAACCTGTTTTTAATTTAATCTTGTATTCTGTCTCACATAGTTTAGTTTTCTTCACCTCCCTTACCACTACCATTGTTTTCTAAACAATTTTAGGGAAAAAAAAAGGTAAAGCGATATTTCCTTCAATGTCTAAACACAGAATGTCATTTATCCCAGAAAAGCCAGCAGGGAGACCTGTAAATACACACTTCCTCCCTGCAGCGCAGTCCACACGGCAGGAGGCAAAGCCGAGCCTGTTCGAGGCCATTCTGTGCCCATAGCCGGGGACCACCCCCCTACACCCGCATACCCACCAGCTGTCCCCACGCTGGGAGCCGTGAGGCAGAGGGGACAGAGGGGAGGATGCTGGGATCTGCTTCCTTCACTCTAGAGTCAGTGTCGCCACCCCGAATTCCGAGAGCAGACACCCCCGAAAAGGTGAAAGAGCGCCAGCCAGGACCTCTCTGTCCTCTGGAGTTCAGCTCCCCGCTGCGCGGCCCTAGCCAAGCCCCTATCCACCCTCCTGTGGGACTCCAGTACCTCCCGTTACCTGTGGGAAAGGCCCCCCTATCCCTGACCCCCTGCTCCAAAGATCTGCAGCTAATGGGAATGGATGGTCCCCTGGTCACATGGGTGCTGATCTCCAAGCCCAGGTGGTAGGACAGTCTAAAACTGAACCATTACTGCCCCCTGGTGACCAGTATCAGCAAGCTACCAGGCCCATCAAACCCCGCAGGAAGGGCTTTTCTTAAAGTGTGGGTGCTGGGCGTGGTCTGTGGGGGAGAAGATACTTCTGCCGAGGTTATAGATGAAGCTCCACTCACAGGATAAACATCTTTGATACAATTGGTTTTGTTCCAGTGAGGGAAGGTTTTGTCACTGCTCCTTAGTCGTTAAAAACCAAAAAAAAACCCCACTGTGGGTTGTGTTTTGAAAAGTATTTTTGTTTCTGTCTAGCCTTTCTGTCAACCTTAAGAAGCAAAGGAGGGCAGGATACCCCCAGTGTACACAAGGAAACAAACTGTGGGGGCCTGAGAGGTCCAGCTGCCCCTAGAAGAGAGGGGGCCCTGCCCTTTATGGGCCTCTGACACCAAAGACCGAGACTGGGCAGCGGGCTTACTTATAGAGAGTGGAGCCCGGAAATCAAGGACGCCTTCACTGCCACCTGCCTCCTTTTTTGTAGTCTTAAGAAAAGCAGGGTGATTGTTACAGAATGCTGATCAGCTGGAGGGCAAGGCAAATGAGTGCCATCTAAGGCCCTTCTTTAAAGAACAGGAAAGATGAACCACTGTGCATACAGCCACAGGAAAGATTTGGGGCGGAAGAGGAATAATCCCCCAATCCTACCTTCACTGCCCTGGCGCTGTGCCACGTTGGAAAGGGACCTGGACCACTGCTGACCGTGGAGACTGCCCTGGAGTTCCACGGGCCACGGGCCCTGAGAACGCACCTCCCTCGGTGAGCTCGGAGGCTCTTCCTCCTTTTCGGTTACCCCAAACAGTGCTCTCAGAGAATACTTTTTCTTGCCCAGGTTGATGTGCTTCTCGCTGGATGAGGAATCTCTGGAAGGCCGTGACACCTGTGTCCATGACTCGACTGGCCAACTCCCGCCCGGCTGCAGGGACAGGCTTTTTGTTCTGAGCACCTTGGATGAGTAGACAGAAGAGGAGCTCTTGAAGACGTGGTGCCTGGCATAGAAGGCCAGGAGTTTGAATTCTAGGCTGTCTGGGTCATCGTCATCCAGGGGCACGTCTTCCAGGTCACACACGCTGGTGCTGCACATGGTGGGCCTGTAACAACAAGGTTCACAGGTGTCTGTCTCAGTGTGCGGCCCTTGGTCCTTCTAGGTTAGGGGAGGCGGGGTGAACTCTCAGCACGTATCTAGCAAGCACCTGTTTTAATTTCCAGGGTAACTGAAGGTGGAAAGGCCAGAGCCTCACTGGAACAGGAAGAGACATCAGTGTAGACAACTCCAAAGGAAGAGAATGAGCCGAGAGCTGTCATGGACATGCAGATAGCCCAGCCCAGAGAGATGGGACAGGGACAGGTCACCTCCACCTAGAGGGGCGGTGAGGGAAGGCTCTTGGGAGGACAGAGGTTTAGACAGGTGGGTAGATACTCACACTAAGCACTGAATACTGAATGGCCTGAGAGTGGATTCTGGTGACTTTAGGATGTGATTTTTTGTTTCATTTCCTCTGATTTCTTTTTGAGACAGTCTCTCACTATGTGGTCCAGGATGACTTTGAACTCCCTAAATTGCCCAGGCTGGCCTCAAACTCAAAACCCTCTGGCCTCAGCTTCCCCATGCTCCCCCATGCCTGGCTTAGGTTGTGTACATGCTATTATAGTGCACTGATGGTGAACCTTTTAGAGGTAAAGCTTTCAGTGATAACAAACAGCCGGCTGAGGCATGTGTGCCACAGGTTCACCACCCCTGTTGTGGTGGAAACATTTGATAGCCAGGGGTCAGGAAAGAGGGGGGCAGAGGTGGATGGTAGTGGATATCACCAGGCTGAGAGCTTTGAATCTTCTCATATCATTCGGTCTGAGGCTGTGGGGAAGGTGGTTGAGCAAAGAGGGAGAAGTGGTTGGTGATTTAGCTCAGCACAGGGTCCTGGGTTCAATTCCCAGTACCAAACCAAACCAAACCAAAAACAAAGACGGAAAAATGCCGGAACCCCCGACACTCTGATTCCTCTGTCTGTCCTGTACCCTCTGCTTCAGTGTCTTCAGATTTGCTTCTGTTTAATAGCGCAGGTTAAGATTTCATCTGATGAAAGCATACTGCTATTATTATAGTGCTGGGGAGGAACCTCGGCCTCACACATGCTGGCCAAGCACTCCGCCACTGGGCTACACCCCAGCTGCATAATAATAATGGTAGCATTATTTTACAGATTTACAGAGCACTGATGGAAGCAATGGAGAGCCTTTCCATGTGTATCAGCACAGGCGTGCTTTACAAAGACCAGCACAAGCCCTAGTGGCAGGGGCAGAAGGATTTCATCTTGATTCCCATGTAAATAACTGTGTTTATGTGATGAACAGATTTGGCTCAATTTTGCTTGCTTACGCTTTCATAAAATAACTCCCTTTCGGATTGTCTGCTAGGGAAATATTTCTCTTTGCTAATAACCTACTTTGTTTTCTTCAGTTTTTTGTTAAGGACTACATATTCTTTTTTGTCTCAGATGATAGCAAACCCAGATTTACTATCTCTCACTGGATTAAAATTGGTAGTCATTGGATGTGCTTGAAAACAACTTGGGCTTCTCAGTCCCAACAGTCTCGAGTTCAAATCCTGGTCACTCTAATCACTAGTTTTGTGACCTAGAACAGGCTGCCTTCCCTCTCTGAACTTGAGCTACCTGTAGTTAAATTGCGAATCATAAAGTCATCTTGCAGAAATATGATGGGGGGATCAGACACTGCCTGAAAAGTCTCAGCACAAAACCTTGCTTACAGCTGTGTATTATTCTCCTATGGTCATGGATGCATCAGTTAACGAGAGGGATGTGTTTTGAGAAATTCATGGACAGGCAATTTCTTTCCCTTTAGGATGGTATTAGGGATTGAACTCAAGGCCTTTACATTGAACTACATCCCAAAGTCTCTTTAAAGATTTTTAAAATTTTGAGGCACAGTCTTGCTAAGTCCTCCACATGGGGCTTGAACTTGTGAACCTTCTGCTCTGCCTCCCAAACTGCTGGAATTGCAGGTACGTGATACCACATCTGACAAAGCAGTTTCATCACTGTGCAAACACGTGTATTTACACAAACTGGGAGCGCCGTGACGTCACCGGGACATAAAATCTTATGGGGTCGCCTTTGTATCTGGGCTCCCTTGTTGACCTTGTTATGTGGCGCATGATGGTACAGCTGGCATCCCAGGCCCATGGGCTCCGGCCTTGATGCGGCTCTTACGTGCCCTCCTCTACTGGCCCTGCTGGTCTTTTGGCATGTAGGCGGGTATGGTAGTAAGCTGTAGTGACAGTAATGGTGCACACAGGCAAGTCCCTCCTTTGCTTTCCATTGTCCCTGTCATTCCAGAACCAACCTATAAGGAAACGGGGCAGTAACTGCAGTTCTGGCTTGATGTGGTATGAGTGGTCCAGACCACCTGAGTGGGTGCCTGCAGCACGCAGGGCCAGGGTAGGACAGCTCCGCCTTGCCACATCCCTGGGCGAGTGGCTTAGTATCTTTGGTGGTTGGTTCCCACAGAGACAGGATGACCTCTAATTTGCCCCGGGGTCTGCTATCTGAGGGAGTCTGAGGCACTGGGCTCTCTCCCTGCAGTCCCGTCCCACGCTTCCTGTTCCTCAGCGGCTTCCTTCCCGCTGGCTGCTGTGGAACCACTGAGCCAAATCCCTGGCCCTGCTATCGGGATTTTGATGAAAGGGAAGTGGGGAGCAGCAGGGGGCTGTGTCAAAAATTAGGTGACAATGGAGGGGCAGAAATGGACATCCTGGGGCAGCAGTGGGAAGAGACACAAACACATTTACCACGCAAGCAGACATATTCCCACAGCTCCTTTCAAGTCCCACAAGCCCTCATTTTTAAAGCTTTTAACATATTGTGAAGGCTTTACAACTGCGATTGTGTGTGTTGTTGGAGAGAGGAAGGGGCTGACTTCTCCAAGAAACAAGTTTGTTGTATATGCTTCGTCAGGAGCAACCTCAGAAAGCAGAAAAACTACCGCGGTCAAGATAGGGCACAAAGTCCTTCCACTTTGGAGAAGGACCTTTTGCCATCTAGAAAGTAATGGTGGGGGGAGATGGTGCAACCAACAGGCAATAAGTGTGAGTAAAGTGGAAAGGAAGGGAGTGCTCAGGACGTAGCCATCTATGAAGAAGGAAGGGTGGGGATCGGGCGTGTGTGGTGACTGGAACAAATGGAGATGTAAAGTTTCTAGTGAAGACACAACGTACAGAACAAGTTTTCCTTCTTGCTAAGCCTCATTATAAATGAAGGGAAAGCTACTGTTAAGTTGATAGCGAAGTCTTCCATTAAAGCCGAATTGGGTGAGAGAATTTGTCATACCTTTGAACCTGCCTACTGTCAGCAATCCCTACCGATGTTTTTTACCTTAAGAAGGCAGAGTAGAAATAGAAATGTGACTATAATTGTTCTGTTTACGGAGGCCTTGAGCCCTGATTCAGAACCTGGAGATAGGAGAGTTTAGCTCCTCTATAAAACTTTTAAAGTTTATTCTAGGGACCCAGCGCTCTTCTCACCACGTACATTTACATTCTTTCTCCTTATCTGCCCCAAACCTACACTTCCAGAGGCTAGGTTATACAGCTTCTTTTGTTGGGGCCCTGTCTTCCAGGTGTTCTCCCAGCGTGTCCTTCGGGAGCCCAGCTGCACGGCCCTGACCTGAGTGTCCCCGGAAGGCCTACCTGCAGCACACACCTACACTCCGGAGATCACCACACACTCTGTGGAGTGCGATTTCACTTCCCTTCCCATGCTAGGTGATAGGCACACAGGAAGTAACAACAGGGCAACTTCATGTTTCCGCATGCGGAGGCTGCCATGACCCAGTGCCTAAATTCTGCTGCCTTTGGGACCTACACTTGGTCCTAGTCACTTCTGTCTGTCCCAGAGATGAGGATCATGGAGAACCCTCGGTGACAGGCCCATAAAAGAGCTGACTTTGCTTCACCCAGGACTTGGGAGTTTCTGGGTATTGATGTTCCTCCTGGACAGAGATTTCTGGGCTAAATCCTAAGCTCTGTCTTGTCAGACTTGCCTTCAGCTCCCTGGGCCCCTTCTGCCCACGGGTTGTCCATATTCTTCTCCTCACTCCAGCCCTCTCCGTGCCTTTATTTTCTCTGCCCTGCCTGTCATCTCTGAGTGTGACAAGCGCCTTCAGTCTTAAGGGAAATGAAGAATGGTATACAGTGCCTTAAACTCCCACAGTGGAACCCAAACTTGGGTTGTATTTGTCATATAGAAAAGCTAAGGCTCTGATTGTGAAGAGTGGATTTCTTGAGGGCTGGAAGGTAGTTTTCCCCTTTTACCTGGGTCAAGTATTCAAGAAGTCCCTAGGGGGTCTGCCAGGGTGGGGATGAGCAACCCTGTTCCTCAGTGCTCAAGCCTGGGGATCACCCCCCACCTTGGGCCTCCATCCCTGCTCTGGGGGAGGGGCCTGCAAGGTTCCAGGTAGGCGAGCACCTGGCCACTGACAGGCTGTCATTGTGCCACAATCTTGTTTTTAGAGGTACTAGAGACGACCAGTTAGTGCCCAAAAGGGACTAAGCCAATTGTATATTCTTTACTGAACTCCCAAACTCTCTGTAGCCAAAAGAGAAACCTCCATACCCCTTTTCTCCCCCTTTCCTGGAAACTAACTTTAACTAGCTTCTCAGTGTCCCTTTGTATCCTGAGACTGGGGTAAGAACTTTGTAATAAAGGCTCCCTAATTAGCTGCCTTCTTTGGGAAGTCTGGACCGAAGCTGGACTGGATCCTCCTGAAAGCTGCAGCCTGCTGCCTCCTGGGTTACCTGTTTGAGGCGGTCACTGGCTTCTGCTGCAGACCAGGTGGCAGGTGGCTATTTCTATACTTTAGTCTCTCCGCAGAAGCTTGAGAGGAAACTTCTCACCGGTTTTCCAGTCTTCTCACTAGAAAGGCTGCAGTGACTTACAGCCGCAGGTTGTTGCTTTCTTGGGTTTAGATAAGGCTGAAGCCACAGTTCGGGAAAGAGAGCCACTTCCTCATTAAGCCCCACCCTGGGCTCCTCCACGGAAGGAGGAGCCAGCCTTTGCCCCTGTAATTTGACTTGAAAAGGAATTTTGCATCCTTCATCAAACAGCTTTCTTTGCCCTTAGAAAAAACTAGGTGGGTCTTTTCCTGGTACTTCTTTCCTTCTGGTTTTATCAGTTTAACAAATATTTACAGACCACCTAGCATGCCACAGCTACAGGACACCACTGAAAGGCAGGCATTAGTATTTTGGCTTAGCAGGTAAGGTAACTGAAGCTTGGGGAAGTAAAGAATCTTGTGCTGGTGAGTTAAACTGAGATCCAAATGCTGTCTGGCTGGCTTTACTTTATATTATCTTATTGCACCTGTAAGATTAAAAAATTATGCTCAAATCATGCCATTGAAAAGCTTTACAAAATGAAGCTAACCACAGCCCTAGTACGGACCCCAAAGCCTCAGCTAAAGACGTGTGTCACTATTTTAGGGATAGGAGCCCCTAGATAGAGGAAGCGAGACATTTAAGTATGACTGTACTCTCTAACCAGATCCCTAATGGAAGTAGGTATTTATGGCTGTCCTTGAGATCATGAATCCTTGTGCAAGCCTGGTGGAAATGTGAAGGTGGAGGATGTGGGAATGGTGAGAGGGGAATTAAGGCAATTTTTATCAAAGTAGGGGAAGAACTGGTTATTTAAAAATGAGGCAAACGGGTCTAGGAGGGACAGGTGGTAGTTAGAGCTTGGCTACTCCGAGTGAATTTTCACCTACAAACTAATGTTTATTGTACACAATTGCATCACTCTGGTCAGTTTAGGGAAAGTTGAAGAAATTGAAAACTGGGCATGGTGGCTCATACTTCTAACTCCAGAACTCTAGGAGGCTGAGGCAGGGGGATTGGCAAGGGGAAATTTAGCAAACCTGTCTAAGAAAAAAAAAAAAAAAAAA